GATTTCTGGTGTCTTGGCTTTCTATGCCTTTTTGTACCTGTCTTTCTTCATGTGTTCAATACTTTTTCCCTGTGTCATTGCATTTTATTACACAGAACTTAATTTCTGAACTTATTTGTTTTCTTTTCTTTGTATGTATGGATTCCTTGGGTTGTTACCGACATCTGGTGAAAATTTCAAGTCAACAGCACCTTTAGAAACATATTTACTGAGAAAAAAGGTGACGCGTTCAATACTAATTTTCCCCGCTGTATATTCCAGTTATTGGTTTAATGAATGTTCCTGTTGCATGATATAATAATCTATTACACATATTCAGCAGTCGGTCTTCATCTGCCTCCGTGCACAATATTAAAGCGTGTCAGGCTGTTTATGTGTTGACTAAAGTATGGATTTAGCATTAATGCAGAGGTACTAGAGCCGCTGTCATACTGAACGTTTTCATATCGATCCAACCCTAATACACACAGCACTCGTGTCTATTGCAGTCTCTGCTGTAATTTGCTCATCATTCTCTGTCTCTTGTTGACTAATGAATGGAGGAATGGCTGGATTTGGATCCACTCTTGAGCTGCTGAGAGTCATTATCAGTGCTGGAGTGGGCCAGTAATTATCATGCCTTTAAAAGCAGAGCCATCGCTGATCTCTGATCCGCCCGCATCACGTTTCTCCCACGCGCGTCATTCAGTTAATGCACCGCTTTAACAAAACACTACTGTACTAATAAAAGAGCTGTTTCCACAGTGAGGTCCCGGAACCTGTTGTCCCTTCCGGAGCACGGGGGTCTGGACGAGCCTCATCCCGTCGGGCTGGGCGGGGATTATCCTGAATGGGACCATCAGGTCGAAGTAATGGCGGCTTGGCGTTTAGAACAGCAGCACAAACAGGAGCAGGCGGAGCTTCGTGAAGCAGAGCCCCGCCCACTTATTCTAAACACCAATGAAACACGAGCGCAAAAGGCCATTCTCATAGACCTGCACTCACACAGGTAATGACCGTCCTTCTGTGGCTGCTTCGATTTGATGATTTGATGACACATGGATGCTGAACACTGGGTTTTGTTTTGGCAGGTCAGATCAGTGGTCAAACGAGACGGCTAAAGTCATACAGCTGGAGAGGACCGTCAACGAGACGTCCTGAGATCCCTGCAGCGGCGGGCCATAGGCTTCATATTTATAGTATTGTTTTACTTAGATGTCCTTTTTTAAAATAAACACACAAACTCACAAATGTATTTTTATTCCATTCCAGCAGTATATCAAATTTTGATACTCGTGTACACTATTTTCTTTTTTTATATGACTTGAATTTTTGTTTTAATATTCTTTCTTTTCCTTTTTTCGCCTATTTGCCCCATGCTACTGAGATTATGTGTAGTAATATATTGAATTTGCATCTGTTTTCATATTCACATGACAACGATGTAGCATGTCAATCGAAATACAGTTCCAAAGATTAAAAAAATAGTGCAAAGATTCAAACTGTATTCAGATTTTAGACTAAAAGCTCTGTTTGCGAGTTTGAAGATGGCGAATTTCCAAAGCATTTGTCTGAATATGTAAATATTTGCAGTATCCTGTATTGTAAGTGTGTTGGGAGAGATATGAATTGATGTGATTGATATCAGTGGAGATGTTTGCGGTTGAGGGCGATGAAAGCGGGACAGTATGGGCTTGACATGAAAAGGACGGATGCTCTCTGTCCCTGAAGTCCCTCGTATGACGTTGCCCTCTTTATTAAGGACAGATGGCCCTTTTTGTCCTCATCTGGCCACCATCCAACCCCCGTCTGCACTCTTGAGGGAGTAAAAGACGCTCGCTGACAAGTCTAGCGTTCTCTTGCTCTGATATGAACGACTGTGACGACCCGAGTCCCGAGCGATCTGCGACTCACTTGCACTGCGTCCTCGTAGAATTGATCTGTTATTTATTATTTTTAGCATGCCTGCCATCCTTTTATCCTGGAAACAAGAGCATTTCGAAGGAGATGGTGTTGTCGTGATGTGATGCATTCAGATGCAAACATTTGTCACGCAACATCTGTGTCGGAAATGGTGTGCATTTCTTATGTATTTGGCATAACGTCTTAACTATATTACACTTTCATTGCATCACAATGCAATCTCTGGCTCTTCCTGAAATCACTCTGCCTTGTTTATGTCCTGTATTTTTCTGCGAGCAAATAAATATTTTCCTTAGTAAAAGCATTGTAAATCAGGCGCCTGAGCCGTCGTTTTGCTGTGTATCCATGTTGGCTTTCTCTATATTAAATTAGGCTGATTTATATTTGTTGTCTTACTAGGATGTTGAGTGATGTTTTTATGTCATCTAGTTGCTTGACTATTAATTATTTTCATTACGACTGGATCTGCATTGTATTTTTCCTGCCTCTCAGGGGGTTTTATGCAAAAGAAAGGTGTTTGCTCCACATCAGAGAGCTCAGATGATGCACTTCATACATTAAATCACATTAGCCAAATTGTGTTAGAATAAAAATGCATGTAGTCTCTAGACTCTCATGACTTCTTGGAAAAAGTATATGTTAACCCTTGGATAAATGTGCTGTTGTGGACATATGGAGGTGATTCTTCAATTGCGGCCGTATATCTAGGATATTTTGCGTAAATGCATTTGTTCTAGTTTGATAAAAGATTCAATGTGCCATTTTTAATTATTTTTCTCATTTTTAAAAGGACGTGCTAGGATGTCCTGTGAAAAGAGTAATTTATTTGTATTTTTTATAAAGTTAAAATTAATTTATTGCTCACCCAAATGTTTCTATCAAGCGAAAAAAAAATTTTTGCTATCAATTATCAAAAATTGCCATTATCAATATCATAATGCACATTAATTGCACGTCATCATTTTAATTTTTTTATTTGTTTTTATTTTATACATTTTTACAAAAACAATACAATACCATAGTTTTTTTTTTTTTTTTTTTTTTGCAGGATTAGAATAAGCAGTTAACACTTGAGGACAAGTGAAACCATAAAGAAAGGCACTGAACTAACAAATATATGATTTAATGTGATCATATTATATTAACATTAACATCCAAGGCTTTTCTGACAAATCAAATACTGGGGGTGTGGCCAAATAATAATAATATTATAATATTAGCTCTTCTGTCCTATGCTGTCGTAACAAAAGTTATGGGGGCGTGGCAAATATGTTAATATTAATGAACCCTCCACAGTCTGGTTATAATACGGCAATTTTTAAAGGAAATATACAAGCGCCATAAATCTAAAGAAGCTATGTTTATTATTTAAAAAAATGTTTTGTGTATTTATTTATTTTTCCGCTGTATCTCAGGAGGTTCCTGACCGAACAAAGGGTTTGTTATCACAATCAGGTCCGGTTTAAACGCTCGCGTACACACGCTTCTTCTGCGTCGCGTCGCGTCTCGCTCTCTTAGCGGAGACGCTTCTATCACGGACACGTCAGAGATCACCACGCATTTAGCGTGTCCAGTCAGAGACCCCTCTGCCCTACATTCATTCCCGATGCTGGAGGAGGATGGGGAGGCAAATCCCAGAATGTCCTCGCGGATGGATGCAAGCTGTTGTTGTAGTTCCGCGGATCGTGCGTGCGCGTAACGTGAGTGAATCGTGAATAGATAGATAGATAGATAGATATTATTCATCCCATGAGGGACATCGGAGGACGCGTTTGGAAGGACTTTTAAGCACCAGAGGAGAGAAGGGGGTCCACTCAGTGCCGACCGGAGCATGATGGACCCCCTGGCTGACATTCGCGCATCTCAGGCGGAGCGCAGCAGCAGAGGAGCCGCCGGTGGAGAATCAGCGGACGAGCAGAGACGCGGCTGCGGGAGAGACGCGGCGCTGGCCGGCAGCGACAGTCTGAGCAGCTTCGCCGACATGGAAGACTCGCTGGAGGAGAAACTCAAAGGTCTGGCGTTCAGGAAACAGATCTCGTACAGGTAAAAAAAAAATGCGTTCGTGTTCCACACTGCGTTTATTTCTCCACCATACGGAGCGGTGAAACAAGTCAGATGGTTTGTTTGTGTGCGTAACTGAACAATGCGAACCCCATTTGTTGTGCAAATCCAACACCCACCCACCTAAATAACAGAATATTATAATACACATCGTGGCAGGATGTCCTGTGAAAGGAGATTTCGTTTATTTGCACGAGAACAGCAATGGCATTAGGGCTAGAGTTGTTAAATGTATTTCATTATGTGAAAAACATTTCATATCTTTATGTTGTCGTTTGGCCTGCTATTGATTTGCAAGCAGGATTCAGCTGTGTTTTCCTCTTGCACATGAAACCCTTGGGCAATCAGACAGGCACTTGTTTTGAATTGTTTAATTGAGATTTGACCAATTAATATGACACGAACAGAGCGATGCATGGCTGTATAATAATGAATTAGACTTCACCTGCGGTAGAGAGACCTATTCCCACATGTCAGGGTCATAAACGGCATGCTTTGACATATTAAAGGTCATTTCAGCACTACAGTAATGATATACAGTATTCACAATAATCTCTGGTGCACCCATATAAACTGAAACCATTGATGAGTTTGCTTGTGCGGTGGGGCTCCTCGTGTTTTGTCAACCTTAAAAATGTCCTAGACATGTTGAAAACATCTAAAACTTGCTTTTTTGGATGCATTGATCCTGTCGTTCATTCCAGATCAATGTAAGAATTGAGCCATACCGACCACACTGGTTTCATGCGGTCACTTGAGAAAACTTGCCTGTTCATCTCTTCTCAGAGACCCCTAATTTGACCTCCCCCTCCTCCGTTTTCCACCTGTCCGTGGAGGAGGGTCACTACCACCCTTACTGCTCCATCAGAGTCTAAAGGTCAATCCTCCTCCGAGCAGATCAATCCTCCGCTCACAATTAAGGCCAGTCTTTGAAGAAATGATCAAAGGTGTCCTCCCTTTCAAAGGAGCGATCTATATCCATCTCCAATTCGGATAAGATGACAATAAGTCCCATGAAACAAACAAACACAAGCCAGCATGGCCTAAAATGCAAAGCATCTTAGATAAAAGTTCGGCTTTTTAAAGCAAAGCATCTAAAAATGGAAGCTTTGAGTTTGCCAAAAACAAAAACAGGCACTGTTCCAAAATCTAGTGAGCTTCCTTGGGGTTTACTGTCTGTATAGGCAGCATCTTAACTGTAATGACACCTTAAGTGATTGATTCGGAGTGCTCTGTATAACTAGCATTCCTCAAATGAAATGCACAGGATTTCCATGATACTCAAATACTACAAAATATATGCACTCACAAATATTGGGTAAAATAGTGTATATATGTATATATTTGTTAATAATAATAATTTGTTGATAATATCCATTATCTTTTTCACTGAGCTTGTCGTAAAACATAGTTCTGTTCCAAAAATCTTTAACACAGCACAATCAGCATAGTAATCATGCTGCTACCTTTTGGAACAGGCTTCTTGTCAGAAGCGTATCTGATGTCTTCAAATGCTGCCTAGGTAGGCAGCTCACTAAGTTTTGGAACAGAGCCACTGTGTTCTTCTTCATACTCTCCTGAAATATAGCACTTATATCAGTTTTTTGTTATCTAGTGAATCATGTTCGGCTTGTAAAGAGGCTCTTGTGTCCGCTCTCTCTCTCTCTCTCCAGGACGCTCTAAGAGTGCAGCAGCAGACAGTGGAACAAAAAAAAAGAACTCATGCATTTTTAAGTGTCCCGATCACAGCCTCGATTGTAGATTTATACATGCTTGACACATTTTCACTCCGCCAGGTCTGCTCCGTATCAGAGTCGGCCTGCAAAAAACTTGTCGTGTTTGCTGAGCTTCTGCAAATGGTGGATGGCGACTCCATTAACAATGCTAAATGGATCGACCAATCATGATCAAGTATTTCGAGAAGTCATTTACATCTGAAATGTAATGAAAAAGTATATTAATTGAGGAAAATAATGTGTTTTTAATTGGATTTGACTTGCTGGTTTATATGGCAGGTGGATAGAGGGGGCGGGGCTGTAAAGTGCGAGGGATTGGTGATGTCATCAGAACAGTAAATTTGTTTTAGAAGCGGAACAAATCACATTTTGATGAAGTATTACAAAAAAATGTTCTCATAATAACATGCAATCATGCGTAATTAGACTAGGGTCAGTTTGTTCATGCATTTTGAATCCAGAACATTCAGTCACATTCAGAAGCATATTACCAGGAAGTGATGCGTTGTGCCGCCAATGGTGCTGCAGAATAGATGGGAATGGGTTTAATATTTGATCGCTTACAAGTGTTGTGTTTTATCAGTGAAACTTTAAAAAGGGCCCTGGTGCATTTAGTCATCTGTCAAGTTGTGCCAGTCCTCCTCCCGTTTGGCTCTTTGCTTCATGGCTTCTTTGGCTGAAGACCGTAGACGCTGTGCCCAATTAGGACGTACCCTTCACAGTCAGTTTAGCACGCTCTGTTATTTTTTATAACTCTCATTTCTAGCTGGCATTGATTCAGGATGTGAAATGGCCGCCACACCTACTGTAAACGTTGATGCGCAAGAGAAACTGTGTAAATACTGTACGTGGGCTGAAATCAAGAACGAGGTGTTTGTGTAGTCGGTCCATCAGTGACTAAATGTGCACATACCTTTTTTGGACCCACGATTGCCCTTTTGTAAGTTGTGCCTCATTCCAGCTGACGTGTTTAATCACGCAAAGGTATGTGTATGTGCGTAAAACAGGGCTTGTCTTGTCTCATTTCCTGCAAAATGCAAAACCCGGGAGCACTCAGTAGATCCTGATGGCTGACGCGAATAAGGATTTGACATAAATGGTCATAATCTCTCCTGAAGTTGGCTGTGCGTAAAGCAGATGGCTTAACGACGATAAAGCCAGTCTTTTTGCTTTTTTTCGCTGTGGCGGGGGTTTGTTTTGCAGTCTGAGGAGACGCATTAAAGGATTGGACTTTTGAAGCTTTTCCTTATTAGGTATATGAGTGTAAGAGGCTTTTCCTCGGCTGTTCTGTTCGGTGAAGCATCCGGCTGATCCGAGCTGCACCTCATCAGGGTTCGAAGCAGAAATTTTGTCCCAGGCTTTTGTTTTGTAGTAGGCCCGAACTGCATTTCCACTGATTTAAGAGCCAAATGATGGCTTGAATGTCATTTTATGCCCATAAATGAATGTAGTACATGTTTACAAGTCTTGGTTTGTTTGTTTGAGGACGTTGTTGTATCATGCAGTTTCCATTCATTTTCCTACAAGTGGTCTGTCTGTCGTTCCTCTGCGTGACTCAGTCCTGCACCTATAGTTCTGGCAGAGCAGCACCTGCAGACAGCCACCACACTGGAGGTGTGAGAGACTTCATCTCCCCTCCGTCTCTTCATCCATCCTCCTCCACTTCAGCAGGGAGTTAACACTGTCTCACCGCTCTAATTCTCTCTGACACCGATGGCTCAAACAGACTCGCTGGTCTTTTATAAAACATGCTACGGCAGCTGCCGTCAATGAGTTTTGGTGGAGCATCAAACAAGAGAACGAAATGTGGTTTTAGCTGTCGTAGGTGTGATTTTGCTATATGGACAGGCTTTGGTTTGTTGCATCACTTTGTGTTAATAATTGTTTCTCTTAGGATGTATTCAAACCAGGAAAGTCAGCTAGTTCATTTGCCTTGGTCCGGACCAAATACAATGTTGATTTTTTTTTTTTTTTTTTTGCTGTGGTTCACTTTCACGCTGCCCTTTTTGCAAGTGAACCAGAAACTGTAAACAAAACCACACGTGTGCTTGATTGAGGTCATCCATTCATTGGTTCATCCATTCAACCGTACCAGAGTTTGTTTGGAAGCGGACCGAGACCACCTCTTCAGCTGGGTCTCGGTACGGTTGTTTGGTGCGCACCCGAGTGTGATTGCTGTATTCACACCTACCCAAAAGATCCGCACCAAGAGGGGAAACGAACTTGAGTTCGATTCAGTCGAGCCAAACAAGACATTGCATATTGCATACAAATAATGTTAATGCATCTAGATGCAACAAATAATGTTATTGAATTTAGATGCAAAAAATGTGTTTAGATGCAAAAATGTATTGTATTTAGATGCTTAAAATATTATTGCATTTAGACCCACCAATAACAATGTTATTGCATTAAGATGCGATGAAAATTTTTATTACATTTAGATGCAAAAAAAAATAATTTTGCATTTAGATGCCAAAAATGTTATTGCATTTAGATGTGCAGAGTACCAATTCATTACCATGAATCAAATGAATTATGTGCAGTATCATAAGGGATATAAGAATGTATGGTTCAGTTTAATTTAATTCGTTTTAACATAGATGAAGAACACAGGTCTGTAATTTATGTTAGTGTTTTGGGCGTTTTTGTTCAATCAGTCTTTGTTTCATTGCACAAAAATAGCAGAGAAATCAATATTTCTATTTTATCTAAGACCAGAAATCTCCAAACAATTTTGCACATTTTTGTGTTGATTTTAGGGGAAACTCCAGACCTCAGTGTAATGCATGTAAACATGGTGAATGTGTTAAATGGAGTAGAGAGGACATGGTGTCTCCGTACTGCATATATACAGGCTGTACTGGGATTACTGGTGGCTTTTTTAGCCGATGATGTGACAGGACTGAGTTTTATTTATGATCTGAATCCTGACGCTGAGTAATTTAACTGATTGCTAACCATTTTTATTCATTCATGTTAATGGCATATTAGAGGATTTCATCCTCTCGTGCTTGCTACTGTTAGTTACCTCAGGTGCATGGAAATGTCCACTGGGTGCTTGCTAACCTGGTTTGGTCTTTTTGATATAAAGTAGGTGGTATGACCAAAATCTTACATCGCAATATGAATAATTTTACATCATGGATCAGAAATTAATTCTTTTATTCAGCAAGGACACTTTAAAGTCACATTGAAGACATTTACGATGTTAAAGATTTATATTTCAAATAAATGCTTTTGAAC